TTTTTTTTTTTTTTTTTTTTTTTTGAGCTTAACAGTGAAAGAGTTCCTGGTGTAACTTCACTATTAGGCGATTCCCTGTCCTCTTGGCCTCGACTACCACCTGGTAATTCCTGCATCATCTCAGGAGATCACACAGGAGAAACTCTTGTGGGTGTGTTGGGAGTGGAGACAGAAAGTCGGTCTCGGTTTATCTTTTTTTTTTTTTAATGTATTTAGTACAGGGTCTCACTACATAGATTGGATTTGTAGTGATGATCCTCCTGTTTTCAGCCTTCAGTCTATCTTTAAGGGGCCGGCAGGAGAACTGTTTTCCCCACATCAAATGTGCCCAGGATGCTGCTCTTACCCTTACTGCCTTGTGATTTCTTGGTATTTGGCTTCCTCTTGGGTTTGCTCTCCTCCACTGGGTGCTCAGTCGGTCCTGTGGCGTGTATGTCGTCTAGCTCATCGATCCTGCTTTCCAGCACTGGGCTTGAGTCTTCCACGGGAGCACACATATCTAAGGGACAATCAGGAGGAACTAGCTTAGCAGTCAGGGAGCAGAGCCACACCTGCCCTTTAGCAATCTGCTAGTTCTGCTGTGCCTCTCTGCCTCCTCTAAGCCTTCGCGGTTTCTGGCACATGCACTAGCTACTTACACGCTAGCTTGTGACAAAGAGGTAAGGAATTAGTAGAACCCAAACGAGGAGGAAAGGATTAGAGATTTTCCTTTACAACCCTCATGGCTAAGTCATTGGTAAGAGCTGCTGCCAGAAGTCACTGGTTATGTCAAGGAAAGGAGCCACAGAAGGGTGCGCCTCGGGGGTGACCCGACAGCCCTCACCGTTGGCGCAGCGCGCCCGCGGGCAGCACCAGGCGCGGCGCCCGCACGGCCTTCGCGGCCTGCGGCAGGCGGCGCAGAAGGACGGCTCCCCGCGCGGCGCCAGGCAGAACTTCCTCGGGCCGCAGTCCTCGTCCGCCGCGCACGGCGAGCCCTGCGGAGAGAAACGCGCGGGTGCTGCAGCGCGGCGAGCGCGGCTCGGGCAGCGTCCCTGCGCCCCCGCAGCTTCTCCGCGGGAGGCCACACGCCAGGAGCAGTTTTAAAAACTCGAGTTGACTTTTCTCAAGCTCTTGGAGAATAGAGAAAAAAGTGCCTTCCAGCATGCACTTCACGAGGCCGCGAACCCGGAGCTGCGCCGCCCAGGTCGGAGCACGCGGCTGTCCTGGAGTCGTGGGGCTCTGAGCGAGTCAGTCCGGCCCGGGCCTTCGGGACCCCAGCTGTGGGGGCCCTCGCGTGAGCCAGGAAGGTCCTCCCACTCGTGTCTCTTTTGCGCGATCCTCCGCACCGCTGCGCACCGCACTCCAGGTCCGCGGCCGCCCGGCGCGCGGCCCCAAGCAGCGAAGTCGCGAGGAGCGGCCCCTCTGGCGCGTCCGCGACGGTGACGAGGGCCATGCCACTCCGCAGGAGCACGGGCCTCGGGGCTCGCTGGCTATGTGGCGTTGGTGAGGTTTTCCTCGTCGTCTGCACTTCAAATTGCGGAGAACAATGGGCAGGTGCTGTGTTTAAACACGTGGCACCTGCCACGTTCCAAATGCTAGTGCAGTCCCGGGTTTGTAGGCAGTGCAGCGCCACACCACCTGGAATCCGCTTTACCTTCTTCTTTTGCCTTTTTGAGACAGGATCTCGCTATGTAATTCAAGCTGGCCTTGAGCTCACTTTTTAGTCTAGGCTGGTCTCGAATTCGCAACAATCCTCCTTCCTTAGCCTCCGTGTTTTGGGATTATAGGCGTGTGTTACCACACCCGGCGCTTTGCCCTTTTTCTAAAACGGTCTACACCCACGCTCTGGGGTCTGAGCCGGGTGCTCCCAAGCCCCCGAGCTCAGCATCTCTGCTTGCGACCCCTTGGCTCACTGGACCTTGTGAGCTTGCCCCGCCCGTGCGCGCCCCTCGGAACCAACCTTGCCCGCCCGCCCGCCCGCCCGCACCTACCTTCCGCGTGCTCTGCAGGTCCGCAGCGCCTTTGATGTTGTTGAAGTCGAGGACCAGGGCGGCCAGTGGCGCACAGAGTTCGCCGAGCCCCAGAAGGGCCAGCAACGTCGCCCCTGCGCCCCGCATGTCCCCACCTCGTTTTCCAGCAGCCGGCTGCGACGCTTATAGCGCGGGCCGACCCCCGTCGCTTCCGTCCGGGCAGAGCGCGGGCCCCGGCACGCCCTGGACCCGTTTGATCGATGGTTCAAAACAGGCACCGGGGAGGGGAGGCGAGCGCAAACCCCCGGTAGAGGCTTAATGGCCTCGGGCGGTGCGCATCAAAGGCCGCGCTCACCTGAGCTCCGCGGCTGGAACCCAGGCCTGACTGCTGCGCCGCCCCACGACGCCAGATTGCTTGGACCATCACCGGGTGCGCGGAAATCCCGTTCTCAAAAGCAGTTTGGAAGGAGGGCAGGACCACAGAAAGCCTGTTTTCGACAGAGGTGTACAATTCAGTAGGAAGCATTGGATTTTTGTTAGGAACAACACACTTAATGTGTGCTGCAGTGTGTTACACTTGCGTAAATGTTACAGATCCTTAAGTATCTAGCTGATTTCCGATTTCCAATTTCCGGATTTGGGAGGAGGAACTGGGGTCGGTAGGGTGCTAGGCAATTGCTGTGCCACTGAGTGGCATTACCAGTCCTAATGTGAATATTAAAAAACTTCTGCTTCAGCGCCCTTTGTTTGGTCTGATATTTATTAATTTGTTTTGTTTACATATGTGTAGATTTCTGAGATAGGGCCTTGCTATGTTGCCCATGCAACTGGCTGGCCATGAGCTCCTGGGCTCAAGTGATCTTCCTGACTTAGACACCTGAGCAGCTATGACTACAGGCATTACACCCTTGAACCTGGCTGTCTGTTTACTTTTACCCCACCAGACTGATAACAGAAAACAAGTAATTTGCCTCAAGAATTTTAAGGGTAGAACAATCTATAGCTGCATCCAAAATTCTTTTTTCATTGTTTCATTGTTCACAGTGTGGACTCACTGTGTGTGAAGGGTGTGAGTTTTATTTACCATCTGAAAAGGCAGATTCCCTCTACCATAAGAGCAGTCTTAGTTTTACTGGGTGTTCCTGCACGACAACCTAATATTGGTCCATTGTCCTGTGTCTGGACATTTTTTTTCCATAATTTTATTGAGAAACAAATAGCCATGAGACAGTTTCAAACCAAATTGGTAGGACAGTTTCAATAATTAACACATTGCATAATCTTCCTAGTGGTTAATTGCTGTACAAGATGCGGACTTGATATCCTATTTACAAACACCATTAGAGCAAGTCCCTCTATTCATTAAGAGAATGTAACTATATATCTATCCTAACTACTTTGAATACACAGATACAAAATGGACATTCATCTGTATCCCCTTTTTGTGTTAAGTTCCATCATTTAAATATTATAGGTGTGTAAACTCAGCAAAATATTCTAAAAGAGTTCAGTAGTCCATAATAGTATTGGGTCTTCCGCTTCACTGGCAATGTCAGAAATTGTTGACCTGACTCCCCTACAGCTCAACATAACACCATGGCTTTACTTCTTATATTTCGTTTTTATACTTTTCTGCTGGATGGTTAAGACCAAGGTAAAGAAGGACCTATGTAACAAGAGTTGTAGCTTTTGGGTCTGATAAGGTCAGTGAAATGCCCTCAGGATTTATCCTGAGATCCTGCACCTCAGATTGTAGAACCTTTGTCAGTGTCAGCCATGTGGATGAGTCACAGCCATTGCTTGGCCAATGTGCTCTCTGTGAAAGCCTGAGAGAATGTTTTCTCTCCATGTGACTCTCCTGAGGCACACTCTACATCATCAATCACTTTCCTCTTTGGCCCCATAATCTCCTTGATCAGAAAATTTGGGCCAGTACCGAGTTACATGATGTTACAGTACAAGTTCTCTTATGTCCTGAGTCTTAATTGACCTTGGAAGGCTAGGGTCAAAATGTTGGCTTTCCTTGCGGCCCTCCTTTTTCTCTAATTTTGGTCTGCAAACTTAGGTTGTTAACCATCCAGAAGACAAACTTATTGTTATTACCATACAACCTAGGCTTTTAAGTTTAACCTCATTATGTCTGGACATTTTATGCAAGGAAAAAACCCACATTTTTCTGTTTTGGGGTACAGGGGATAGAACCCCAAGACTTGCACACACTAGACAACTGCCCTGCCATAGCCACTCCTCTGTATCTCACTGCTGAACACAGAAGTCCCTCCGTGGCTGTCTACCATCCTTCTCACTGGCTTGGTCCTCTGGCTTGGCCCTGCTCAGCAGCAGGGGGCTCTTATTCTCCCCAGTACAGTTTTCACCACCTGCCTTGACATCTGATGCTTGTGGCAGCAATGAGCCTGCTGGGTGGGGCTGTTGTGAATTTGTTTTAAAGTTAAACAGGACTCAGGACAAAGGCCAGACCCCAGGTCCCCTGATTTGCCATTTTCTCTGCTTTTTGTTTCCTAACTGGACTAGGGACTCCAGACAGTGCATGGACAACAGGACTGGATGGGTTCAGGGCACTGTGGCAGCTCAGTGTGGCACAGTACTAGGACTGGAGTATAAAACACAAAGTCTCTGAGTCCAGACATAAGACATGTATGGGTGGATGTTTTCCATATATTATGACAAATACTAAAATAAAGCTATAAATGCAGGATTAGAAGATTTATCAGTGTATAAACAGAGAGCAGGGCATGGTTAAGACCTTCTGCAGAAATAAAGGAGAGTTAATATTTGAGCTCGATTTTGTGGGATGAATAGGAGTTTGCTAGGCTGGGAAGAATGGGTTGGTATTCTGCTAGGCTCAGAGGGCATGAAGGTACATGTGGCTGCAGTGAGAGTTGATGTGGTTGGACTGATGATGTGTAAGGATCCGCTGGTCTCACAGTATGATCCATTGTACCTGGGGAGAAATGGTGGCAGGAATGAGGAAAAGATAGACAAGAAGACAAGAGCTGCATCAGGTGGTTGCCCATCTACCTGGTTGGTAAGAAAACCTTCAATACCACAGAAGGGTCCTTTATTTGTAACTTTGCAAAGTTAGTAATATATGACACAAGGTTGCTAGTGACTAATAACTGACATTAACCAGTCAGGATGCTTATCTCAGGACTGAGGCAGCTTGCCTGCTTTAAGCACTGAGACCTAGTCCCACTTTCACATATTTGACAATTTTCCAGCTTCCATGGCTCCCAACAATGATGGGGAGAGGAGATGAGCAGGACTGAGAAGACCCTGACACACAAGGCTGAGAAAATCAGACTTTATTCTCTATGCAACGGAAACTCATTGGAGATTCTGAGCAGGACAATGGCAGGTGAATTTCTAGGAAGATGTGTTGTATTTTTTGAGTTGGTGCCAAAAGAAATGATGAGGAGACTTGATAAATATAGCTTCAGAGGTCTCACTGAGATTAGTCTCTAAGTGAGCCTGAGATATCATACATTTATGAACTTTTATGGGGGCTTCTTTTTTTCTTCATATGTAGGAGCAGAAGGGTTAAAAGATGGTGGTAGGGGCTGAATTTTTGTGAACTGAGATGGAGGAACTACATGGGTAGAGACCTTCATTTTTTTCAATCAATTTAGAAGGCAATTGTGATAATTGCCTTACCTCAGCTCACAGCTCATGTACTTCATACTTAGTTTCTTTTCATTCTACATCCTCCAAATCCTCAGTTTCCATGGAGATGGTTTACAATGTCATAAATGTCCTATTAGGACCCAGTTTATCAGATTCATCCCCACTATAGAGCATTGAGAAATTTAAAGAACCGACACTCTCTGTATGCTGGGGAGTGCCTTTATTTAGGGGGTCTTGAGGACATCCAACCTTATCATAATTATGTACCACAGAGGCTCCTTCCTCTATTTTTGTCCTTTTTTATGCTATCATCTACATTTGAGAGTGAGGGAGGCAGAGGTTTTCAAAAGGTCTCATCTGCAGATTCATATTTGTGCAGAAGTTGCTCTAGAGGTTTAGCAATATCAGCATCTGAAGCTGACCTTTTCAAATATTTCTTAGGCTCTTCTGAGTCCAATTGTAATGGTTCCAAAGCTAAGAAAATTAAACTACAAAGAGACCATATATGAAGAGGAATTGGTTCCCCATTTTGGTGAGCACAATACAATGTTCTCATAACTTATTTCCAAATCTTTTAAGTTTAAAACAGCCTTTTCCTTAGGCTGAAACCAATAATAATACCTTTTTATAAGTGAAAATAATTCCTTGAAACTCTTTGGTTTTACTTTTACACCCACTCCTTTGAGTAACGTCCAAATAAGACAGACATATTTATTTTCCACCTCAAGTGGAGTTTCCCATTACTCTGAGCTTTTCCTATTGGTCTTGCCTACTCTGAACATATTTTTCTCACACAGTCAGGCCTCTCTTAAGTCACCCAGGTCATCTCCCTGCTCCACATTGGGCACCACTTGTATGTTATAAGTTTGTGCTAAAAGAAACAATGAGAAGACCCTGTGAATATAGCTTCGAAGTTCTCACTGAGATTAGTCTCTCTCTAAGTGATCCCAGAGCCACAGAAACATCTCATATTTATTGAGGGCTGAGGACTGTGTATAACTACTTTGGTGAACACAAACTACTCTCTCTATTCATTTCAGGATTTACCTAACTCTTAAGTTTACATAATACCAGCCATTAATATCCCAAGCAAGGGAAGAAACAACAAACAGGGAGCCAGCAGGAGAAGCTGTTATCTGTAGCCTTGAATCTCAGCTTGCCAGAATTTACAAGAGAGAGAACAATTCACCTCGGGCTCTGTTCATTGCTCCTTGCTCCCTCAAGAAATTAGGCTTTTGTCTCATATCTATATTTCTATAAAGATGGAACTGTGGACAGTATGGAGCTAGAACTGTGGCAGGTGACTCCAGAGAGGTCACATCACAGGCAGTGGTAACACGGTGCTGTTAAGAGTCAGGCATGAGATTTAGAGGTTGAGTAAGTGTGTGGCTGATGGTGGGGGTGGATGTGATTATTCTTTTAGGTAGAAGAGGGTTGGGGCTGGAGATGGGGTACAGGGAGTAGGGTGCTATGCACCTAGTGAAAAGTTACTGCACAATTGAGTG